AACGATCAGCAAACGTTATCCAACAGTTAAAAATCAACACCTTGGCTAAACGAACGCACTCCGCATCAGAATTCAAGGATTCACACGGGCATTTTGGAAACTATGAGCCCAGTAAACCACAATAATCACTACTTAAATGTACGTGCCATTGTATGCTTCCAATAACATAAATTTGCACCTTAAAACTTATAAGTCAGCCTAATCATTTAGCACATTTATACAGATCGCAAACAGAGCTTACTAGCCACACCAGTACAAGGGTCATAATCTTCATACACGCCACCAAAGGCTCCCATAGATTATTTAGTGCAAAAAAATACTATTAAAAAAATTAACTTTGGCCTTGAATAAGTCAATTTAACGGCACTTTTGCAAATTTTAAAGTATAATAGAAACACTGAACAAGCCTACATGCATGCCGAAGCATCTTAACCAAAACAATTTCTTTCGCTTCTTGTAAGGGTTTATGTAACTTAATCCAAATATTTTAACCTATTTTTGCAACACTTAGGTGCACATTGTTTTTGAATCGCTTTTAGTGAGTTTACAGTTGAATTTGTTTTCCGAAATATTTTCTTTACTTATGAATAATTGTTCTGTGCACTTTGGTTTGGGTAAAAGTGAACGTCTTTAGCCTTTTTCTAAGGTCCTAATAACCTGAAGTAGCATGTCATATCATACATTACTAACATGGACCGATGTTCACTTCACAATTCGAAGAATCGAGCCATTATGCTATTTTAATACTGTATGGTACACTAAGCGCAGTGTGAAAATTTAATAAGCGTGGCTTTTGTTGAATACGTTCGAGCATTCATGCATTACGTATTTGCTCTTAGTTTCCAAGCCCCCACTCCGGTGCCCAGTTCACGTAACAATTGTAGACATTTGTTTTGTTGTTCAACTTCTATATCATGGCTTATCAGACCCCTCAGGTTGTACGTTTCTTCCACATATTCATTCATTCCTGCCTATAGACCACTAACCTCCTTTCACGTCAGTACTACGACGCCCTGCGTAATGATAGATCTCATGCCGGAAAAGGATAAATCGAGTAATTAAAGACCCATATCCTTGTGCTAATTATGCTTCTAATAAAAAAATCGTAGATATTTTCCAAAGTTTCTCGTATAGCCTGTGAATGAGTAGACCCATTGCGTTTCGACCGTTTCTTTCAGCTCTCCTACTTTATTCTCCTTAAACAAATTTGTTTGGTGTGTCTTTGAGATAATCTCAAGGTTTTGTCCATTACCAGTTAACTAGTGTCAAGTAGCAATTTGAAGTCCTCAGTTCAGGATTTAATCATTGGTGCTTACATTGGCTATAATTCCAATAATGTTGGTACAAACGTGAGAGTGCCTACATGTAATACACAAACACATTAATCTTAGAAAAGGCATATGCTATTGTCCAAGTGCCTTGGGCATTTGCTAAGGTTTATAGCAGGCGACAGGTTCGACAGCGTTCATGCATTTAAATTGTATGAACGCCTTCACTAGGCTTAAATGGACAACTTCCAGGTCTATGTAAAATCCTTATTTGCTCCGAAAACGTGCATTTTTTGGTTGCGAAAATTCTTCTGGGATGTTGCTACAAATTATGCCTTCCCAGCGGATTACGCTATTTTGATTGTGTTGGTCGTAAAACAAATTGGCGAAATGAAAATGGAACCTGCAACGTTGCAAAAATATCAATTGTGAGAAACCTTACTCTGGTCTGCCAAATCCTATGCATCATTCACGGAATGGGCACGATTGTAGCATCTCAAGCTTTAGACTTGCTTCTTTTTCCATAAAAATTGCCAAAGAATGCATGGTACATTAGAAAATATTTTAATACTGTAGATGCTTAAGCATTGCGGAATTCAGACCGGATGTGAAGGTTTATACTTCCTGCAATCATTCCACAATTCTCTACTACTTGTTTAGAGATTAGTCACGAAATGATGCTCTTTATTTCATGTATCCAATTTGTGTTGATTGGATCTGACACGAACCTGGCGTTCATTGAGTTGTACAATTTTTTTTTGATGAGCACAACGACAAATATGATCCTCGTTCTTCTGCTGTCGTCTAATACCGGTATCTAGTAATGTGCTGGCTTGGTTGGCCTTTCCTCATAGATTACGTCAAGGCATAGTCGGAGCACTTTTAATGTACACCTTCTAACTATTAGAAGCATCGAAAATTAAAAGGAAACACAAAATAACTTATTTTAGCTTTGAACATATTTGCACGCATATGCCAATGCTACTGAAGTCTCGCTGCCAAATCCAACGACTAGCGGCGACACCGGACTCTCAGCCATTCATATCATTGGGCGCATGGCATCAGACGAAACCCCTCCTTCTGATTGGCGAGTGATTTTACGCGTGAGTGCCATGCTCATCAGTGTCTCATACACCAAAATAGGACACGGCATAGCAAACTGTCATGATAACCAGCATCTTTTAGAACGAACAATCTTTTGGAATTTTAACTTTAAAAAGCTTACAAGAAAAGAAAATAAATTCAGCAACAAAAAGCCAACAGTTACCTACGCATTCATTCCTACAGCGTGAATTTTTGAATAGGATGAAAACAGTTCTGACTTGTTGCAGAAATCGTTAACTTCAAACATACCTCACTCAGGAGATACTATTTATTAAGACCTGAGACAAAGGAATTAAGCACAGGTGAAGGAATAAAAATCAAGTTACTGGCTTTTCCTTCACATCCATAAGTAGCACATGATGCTACATAATGGCGGCTTTCCCTAAGACAAAAGTTACCACTGCAATCGGAGTATTTGGGATTGTTTGAAAACATGCATTTATACTGTCTCATCAATTTGGCTCTTATACCAGATGGGGACTTCGACCTCGCTAGCTTCAGCGAAGCGCTGGGATAGAAAATGGAGTCAGGCAAATAACTAATCCAAGTGCGAAATCGTACTTTGATTACTTTACGTAGTTCTAGCGGTAAAGTAAACAAACAAAAATGAATATTAACAGAAGGTCTGGAAACAGGCAAGCAGCCAATTGTACGGCGCAGTAACAGCAGGGATGTGAGTGTTACCGAGTGATGGGTACGACAGTCAATTAACCAGCGGTAGCTCATAAAAGAAAAGGAGCCAACACGCGTGATTGCTATTAATTTCCTTTTGGCAATTTACATCCCTGTTCATCCATAGGGCAAAGAAAACAATACTTGTTTT